AGAGGAAATGTGCCAAGATTGGGCTGCCCTGGAGTGACCTCCCCCTGCCGGCACTCGGCCCCGGAGCTGGGCGTCTCTCCTGCCCCTCCCTGGCTGCTGCTGCAGTGGTTACTTGCGCTTCCCAGGCTGCTCTCTGCTTGGTTTAGTCCAGGTGATTATTCAGTGGCTTTGCAGACAGCCCGGCCAGGGAGTCGGCTGCTTTCCGAGGGCCAGGCCGGCCCAGTCACTGTTGCCGAGCTAGAGCTGCACTGCCAGGCACGCAGGGTCTTGTGGTCAGTCTCTGGGTGTGAGCGCGAGTCCCTCGAACCTGGCAGGCCTGCGTCTGAATGGGGAGTTTTCTATCTGGGGTGTTATGAAGGCAAATTCCTATGGATGGACGGACACACGCCCGCGCGCCCGCCCCTCCTCTCCCTCCAACGGGCACATGCCCTTCCCGAGACTTCTCCAAATACGCCGTGTTAGAATTTCCACCCGCTTCTGGTTCTGACCCAGCCTCGGTCCCGCTCCTGGGGCTGGCGAACGGGCTGGAGGTGGCGTTCGTCCCTCTGGTGCGTGCCCGGCGTGTATTGCCCTTGCAGCATGGTCTGGCTTTTCTCTTGCTCCGCCCCGTGTGCTGCTCCGTAAACAGGCAGGGGCCGCTGAGCGCCCGCGTTCTCTGAGCAGGGGCATGGAAGGACACAGTGCAGTAAATCTCGTGAGCTGTGAAAGTGTGGGCTGGGATCCCACTGCCGGCGGAGGCCCCTGTTGAGCTCACACTGGGTGCTGGGCTCTCTGGAGATTCTGGCTGTTGGTGTCCCAGTTGGGAGCTGCTGGGCACTAGAATTCAGCCCTTGTTTCCAAGCCTGACTGCGAGCAGAGCTCTCCAGGAACCCAGCCCCGAGGAGGGGTGCTGAGCTCGGTGCCCAAAGCTCTCCTGGTGCAGCTGCATGGGAGCCGTGAGTCACGGAGCCGCCTGGCTCACGCTGCCTATGCTGCAGCTTCGCTGGGAACCTGGCGCTGTGATGCCAGCGCTGACACCCGCTGCCTTGTAAACAAAACACCCCTTTGATCTGGCGTGTAACGCGCCCGCGCCGAAGCAGACTGATGGGTGGGAGCAGCCTGGCAGGAGAGGCGGACGCATGCGGGAGCAATTCCTCGCAGAGGCAGGGACGGTGTGTTCCCCTGTTGTGTCGGTGGGTGCGGGCACCGGGGCCGGGTCCTGCGACTGGGGAAATGGGTTTCTGTGTGTCAGGGCGTATCCGTTTGGGGAGGGCTCTTTGGGTGTGTTGGAGGCAACGCCAGTGAGCCCTTCCCTTCCCCCCACCTCTGCCAGTGCCCCTCAGTCCCGACCCACAGCCTTTGCTGCCATCCCAGCCCTCGGCTCCCCCTGGCACGTGGCACTGCCGATGCCCCTCTGCCTGGCACACACAGGCAGCCGTTCGCGCCCAGCTGCTGGCTGACTTTTTGACTATGCTGAAGGCCCTTTGTGGGTTCAATCATTTCCTGTGCTGGTGCAGCCAGTGCCCCTCCAGGGTGGCATGTCTGTCTGTCTCCTCCCCACTGCGGGGGTGGCCAGTGCTGGCAGTTTTGCCCCAGCTGAGTTCTGTATTGAGTGGCTCAGAGGTGAGATCCCACTCGGTGAAGCGAGGGTCCCGCGCTTGGGAGAGGGGGTCACGGGGATCGACTGGAGCCCAGGTGCATGGAGCAGGCACGAGCCACCCTAGCCACAGAGCAGAGCTCTAGGCCCAGCACCTCAGGGGGGAGGGTGGCTTTGCCTCTTCTCTTGGCATGGACGGGTTAGCTCTTGGTCCTCGTTAGGGGTGGGGGGAAGGGACCAGCCATGGTCGGGCCCTTTCCCTGGAGGGTTCTGGGGTCTTTGCCATCCCAGGAGTGGCCATGGCTCTGGGAGGGCAGTGCCATCATGCTCTTCCCCAGCCTGGACTGTGGGCGTGTCCCACCAGGGACCCCATGGCATTGCAGGCCCCTCTCCCCCCAATCCGCTGCGGGATCCTGGCCCCTCTCAAACTGCCCAGCTGCTTCCCTCTCCTGGGCCTGTGCTGATGGGGCCTCGTGCAGCCACCAGCCATGTTGCTGCCATGCCGCCGTGGCACAGGCGTGGGGAGAGCCCCCACGTGGTCCAGCCCGGTGATTGGCGTCTGGTGGGCCCGCTCCCCCAGGGCCCTATGTCTGGAGGCACTTTTCCCGTTGGCCGTGCCGCCTAACGATGCGTCTGTGACCCCTTGGCCTGAGGGGGGCAGCCTGGACCCAGTGGGCAGGCTGAGGTGATGCTTGTCTGTGGGGACAGGCGTTGGCTTCGCTGTCCGTGCCCTTCCTACGTGTCCGTCCATCCGTCGGACTCCTCTGTGGCGCTCCATAGTGACACCCTAATGCAGCAGCCCCGGATCCAGGCCCTGCTCCCGTCCCCTCTCCCTGCCTGGCTCCTGTGATGGACACGGGCAGCCCCGACGCCAGGGCTGGAATAAACCCCTCCCAAGGGGACACGCTCTCCAAACCCGCACGCAGGCCCCGCTGCAGCCGGAGGGGACCGACGCCTCTCACTCATCTCTGGGGACGTCAGCGGGCAGGGACCTGGGCGCCTCCTGCAGAGGGGGAAGTGTCCTGAGCCCCAGGCGGCAAACGCGTCATGGCACCTTCACTCCGGGTCACCTTTTGGTACCACGCTGCCAAAGGAACGTCGGTGCCCCTCAGTCCTGAACTGCAGCCCCCGCTAGCCTGTATCTGAACCGGAGCTGAGCCTGCCAGCTCTGCCGAACGGCCCGTGGGATGCCCTCCCAGCACGCCCTCCTGTAGCCATGGGCAGGAGCCGGCCCCGTTCTCTGCTGACAACCCCACCGTGTGTGTGGGGGGGGGGAGCGGGGGGGTCTCCCTGCTTTGTCTCGCCCCCGCTGGGCTGGGAGAGGCCTACACGTCCGTCCGGTCAGGCCCAGTCTGTCACTTCCTGTGGGAGCGGGTGGGGTGCGGGAGGCGGTGGGTGGCCCCGCGCGGGGGAGGCGGCTTTTGGTTGCTGGAGATGCGTCGGCCTCACATGGACATTCTTGCTGCATTAGTCAATTGTTGTGTGCAGGCACTTGCCGCGGGCTCTGTCTCTGCTGCCGGGACCAGAGCCGGGCTGGAGCGATGACGTCGGGGGAGCGGGGACGGCACTGTCCTGGGCTGGGAAAGGCAGCTCCCACTCCAGCGCTGGGAAGGGATGGGGCGCTGCATCCCCCAGCCAGCCAGGCGAGCGGGGGGTCCTGCCTCCTGCTGCACAGTCCAGCCCCGGGCCCTCCCCTTCCCCAGCCCGGGAACCCTTCCCTTCTGAGTGGTGCTGTTTTGGGGCAGGCTTGGCTCTAAGCCAAGGATCCAGGACCCTCGGCCCTCACCTGGGAGCAGGGCAGGCAGCTGCTCCCACAGGAAACAGGGCGGCTTTGTGCCCTGCTGGCTGATGGCCGGTGCCGGGCAGTGCCAGGCCCTCGCCGACGGGCGCTCTGTGCATTGTGTGAGCTGGCCGGAGGGACGCGCTGTGCCTGGCACCTGGAGCATGGGGCTGTGGGGCATGTGGGCGACTAACTGCCGTGGGGCCCTGCCCTCCATGGGGGGACATGGCTGTGTTCGGAAGGGGGCAAGGCAGGGCCTGGGGGGCACTCCGTCCCCCTCCTTGGGGATGCCAATGGCTGTGGATTGGCTGAAGGAGTCTCCGGCTTGGCCCTCTCATCTCCCTGGGACACCAGGGCCTCGGCGTCCCAGCTGGAACCTGTCCCACCCACCCAGCCGCTGCTTCAGCCCCCGCCCTGTCCCCTCCGTCCTCATGCTCTGGGTCTTCGCTGGTCCTGCCAATGCTGGGACGCCGTCCATGCAGCCCCGTGAGAGCAAACGCCTGGTTCCTGTGCACTGGGTCCCCTTTGCTTCCTTCGTATCTCCCCCTCCCCCAGTCCGGCCTGTGGGTCCTGCCACCCCCCTCCCCCCCCTGACCCACACCCTGGCTATTCGGCTGCCCCTGCTCCTGCAGGGAGTTGACACCTGGGGCTTTGTCTCCCATAGTCTGTGGTTCTGCTCCAGGCAACACATCACAATGCCGGGGGACAGGCCAGGTGGGGCGCGAGTTGCCGTGGGCTGGCCTGTGGGCCTGGCAGGCTCACTCCCAGGGGGCTGGGCTGACTGGGTCCCCACAGACGCCCCACTCTGTCCTTCTAGCCAGCTCCCTGCCTGGTATGTGGCCGTTTTGTTCAGAAATCCGCCCTGGCCAAGCCGCCCGAGCCCGGCCTCCTCCAGTGGGGCTGAACCGTCTGCCCAGGCCTGAGAGAACAAGCAGTGGGGGGCCCTTGTATGAGACACATGGGGGCCCCCAGGGGCTGCCCCATGCCTGGCAGAGGTGAATGGGGCTGCTGAGGGACTGGGGGGAGTGGGGAGGGGGGGCCAGGCTGTGAGTCACAGGCCCTGGGCCTGGAGCGAGCAGCATTCAGTGTCACTTCTCACATCGCGTCCTTGGTTCCTCTTTCGAGGCTAAAATAGTCGGTGGCCATTGGGGAGGGTGGCGCCGACTGGCTCCCCCTCTGCCGCTACGGCCCAGGGCAGACGGGCAGCGCTGGCGGCCCCATGGAGCCAGCACGGCCCTGCCTGGCTATTGATCACCCCGGCCCCAGAACACAGCCGGCAGGGGTCGCTGCTGAGTGAGGCCACAGTCAGGAGCGCTGGGGTGGGGTGGCAGAGTGGGGCTCTGGCCTGCCGACCTCCCCCGATTCCTGCCCCCATGTGGCTGGAGATCTGCCCTGGGGCCCATGTGTGGGGCTGGCCTGGCCTCTGGGGAAGGACTGACCTTGTTCTCTTCTGCTTCTGTGTTTCAGCTAAAGCAGCAACCCCTCCAGGGCAGAGCGTCCCCAAGAGTGAC